CCCCCCCCACCCATCCCCCCCCCCCCCCAAATTGAGAAGCTCTTAATTTATCAATAATATCATTAAATGAGTTAGGGGTCGTTCACAAATTAAAAAAAATGACCTTTTCAGACACCCCTCTCCCTGTCACACGTGTCAAAAATTCTTTACCCCTCCCCCCTCTTACTATCACGTCACACCTAAAAAATTCAAAACATACAAAAAAATTGTCATAACTAAACTAAGATTTTATTTTATTCTTTAACATGTCCCCATAATGGATTAAGATGTAGTATTATTAGAAAACTATGATGTAAAACGCGAGCCGAATGTAAAATGGCCACAACAGTTTTTGCGTCACAAATTTTTGAAACACAAAGTGTCATAAATTCTCGACACCCCCCCCCCNCATTACGGAATACGGGCACCTTTTGAACTGCATCTCTTTAAAAAAAATTAAATTTAAATCCTAAATACAATAATACAAATGATAAAATGCATTAATATTTAGAAAAAAAAAAAAAAAAACAAAAATGATTTGAATTGCCAAAACACAACCATGTCAAAGGACACATAGGCAATATTTCCACTATACTCTCTTCAATTGCTCTCCCATTTATATGTGTAGTATGATGAATGATGCGAAACCGAATTCAGGTATTCCACAATCGTATCCGGAAATTTGATCGAAAGAAATTTCGTCGACGGTAAATTGGTCGACGGTAATATGATCGAACGGAAATTTGGTCGAATCTTCTTTTCAATTTTTACGTAACAATTTTGTATCAAATTTCTTTTTGAACGAATTATTTTGTTTTACTAAATAGTATAGTGCGATCAAAAAGAAATTTGACGAAAATTTCAACGTGCGAACGGAAAAAAAGATTCGACCAAATTTCCGTTCGATCAAATTACCGTCGATCAATTTACCGTCGACGAAATTTATTTCGATCAATTTTCCGGTAACCTTCCACAATGTATAGCCTACCTGCATATTGAATTTATAAAAATATTACTGGGAGGGGCTCACTGGACCCCCTGACCTGACCTCTCATTTTCTTACTTTGTTCTGCACTGTAGTCAAGCGCCCTCCTCTTCTGCCCCATCCCCGATGAAAGTGACAGTGCCGGAACTTTTTTTTTATGGACATTCTTCTAATTTTATATTTTGTCGCGCAAGTTACAAGATAAATACACTAACTTTAACTTTATAACTTAATTAATATTTTGGTTTTCACAATTAATTTTGGCATCCCCATTAATTATTATAATTTACATCCATCATGTTTAGTTACGCACACAACACACACATTGTTGAGCAAGTACTATAATTAAAAAATTCTTTTAAAAATCATTCCTATGTTTTTATGTATACGTTTCATTAGACAAAAAAAAAGTCAGTGATTTGTTAGTGTTATATGTCATGTCAACTTCGACAGACTTTAGAGTGATAATTTATTTACCACGCCTCCTGTTTGGAGGCAGATGAACTTTGACACGGAACTTCCAACGACGCAACTCTACCGAGTAGGATTCATTTCCGGAAAAGGTCACGTGACTTGCATCTCTAGCGGGGTACTGATATCCCCATTACTTTGTGAACTGGTCTAGGTGCTGTCTTTTTTGGCCTTCAAAATTACATCTTTTAATTTTCTCAGTATCTAGGAGTTCAGGGAGGAGAGGAACGACTCAATTTTTAACATGGAGCCAGAATTCGATGGATATATGGAGGAGGAAGAAGAGTGGGACAGGGAAGGATTACTCGACCCGGCATGGGAAAAGCAACAGAAAAAGGTCAGTCTTGTTCAACAAATTTCTTATCACTTAAGGTTAATGAAACTAAAATTATGGTCAAAATTAAGACGGGCCAAATGTAGTTACAGCCCATTTGTGACCAATGTAATTGTTAATGATTTAGTCAATTAAAACTGTGTTAAACCTACTCGAATCGTAAACATCCATGGCAGTCGCCATTACGCTAGTGGGTTTGATTGCACACCTAATATGGATGAGGCACTCCGAGGGGCGGGGCTTGTTGGTATCTATAAGCGTATAGGCATACAACTTGTGATTTTAGAAAAGAATCGATGAAAAATATCACCATCCTTAACCATTCAACATGCAATTTAAACATTATTTCATCCCGCTTATATTAATAAACAATTCTGTTTTCAAATGTATCATTACCAGGCATAGAATTACTACTTATTTACAACTATAACAACACTATACTTGTACTTAACACTACATAGATTTATATTAATACTAATATATATTATCTATACAGGTTCTTTATTAGTATACTATTACTATTAGTATTTCGGCAACGGACTACGTTCTATATTTTAAAGTTCAATTCAATTGGCATTTAAAATTATAATATAAGGCCTATCATTCACAATTATTTAAGGAGTAGCTTTTTACTTTATTTTTAGGGCTGGGGAGATAGGTTAGTCCCAGACTCAACGTGAGCATTTATGTGTGGTTAGACCCACAATAGTTAAGTTAGTTCTAGGTATCTGGCGTTCAGTTACCTAATTAAATCTGTTTCAAATTAGTTTAATTAGTGAAGGCTCTAATAAAGTTCAAGATTGAGGCCTAGGCTGTAAAGTTACACAAGAAATCACTTTGAGCCTAGTTTAATAGTTAATAGTAATCCATCATTACAATTAATTGTAGGCATACACCATAACTAACAGTACTATCTAGTACTGATTGTTTATCAATAGACTTCATCACCATACTTGATGCACTCACATAATCTGATGTAATTGTTGATCAACCTGTTTTAAAACAACCTACGCCTACTCAGGCCTACTCTCTTATTATTTTAATAAAAATAGGCATGTCATGGTTGACAAAAGTGATAATTGAATTGACATTCCTGGCCTGATTCATTGATTTTTTTAGTGGAGTCAGAGCTCAAAAGGTGGTCTTTAGTGTTAGGATTCAATTTTTAAAATTTATATTAGGCATTTGCCTTTAAGCCATGGTCATATAGTATAGGCCTATGCCTTTAAACCATATTGGCTTAGGCTTAATGATAAAATTATATCCCTAGTTATAATTGCAAATAAGGCTTCTTAATAAAGGTGTTAAGCCTAGATTTTACTTAGGTCTATTTTTTTTTTGATAAGGTGGATCTAAAATTGAATGTTAATAATAAAATAGTTCTAATAACTATGCAGCTGGGGTAGAATAAGTTCTAATTATGCAGCTGGGGTAGAATAAGAAATAATACCGATGAAAGATTGTAGGGCTTTAAGTATAATGATTAATAAACTTACTCCAATTTGTAAAGTTATTTCCTGGTATTTGACATTACACTATTTACATTCCTGGATGATCCCTCTCCTCTTTATGCCCCAATTTAAAGTGAGCTTTGATTATCAGCAGATTCTTCTTAACTTATACAAGCCTATACAAATTGGTTAGCTATTATTGGTTTATTTAGTTAAAAGTCATTTTTGTTTTTCCATATTTTGATTAGTAAACTACTACTAGTCGTAAAAATCCTTCTATGTAGGTTGAATGGAATTATTTTTCTTTAACTTTGTATTTGTATATCTTTAAGTTTTTGCATTATATTTACTTTTTATGCTCACAACAGGTGCAAAATTTGGTTTTCATGATTTTTTTGTAGGTTTGTCAGGTTAGAGTTATGTGGACTATTAATATTATTTAAAAGTTGAAGGCCCAAATTTTATGTTGCAAAGATACTCTTAAATTTAATATTTACTAAAGACTCTTTGGAATTATTTAAGCTTTATTTGAAAATATTTATATATGGAAATTTAAATACAATATTTTTAGAGAAAAGAGTCCAATTAGTTATATTTTAAAAAATGTAAGTTTTATCCCAATAGTTTCGTTACGATTTCTCTACTTGACTGGTCTGTGGTCTACTTACTGGTTCCCATCCGTTTCCAATTTACGGATACTTGACGTGTCTAAATAGCTGCTCTAGTCTGATTAGTGAAATGTGCCTTTTAGAATTAATTTCCTTGGGGGAACCCCAAAGGTCTACCATATGTCTTAGAAGATATTAAAGTTTCCTGTAGTATCTGGGAACCCTGAAAAGGGGTTGGGAACCTCTCCTCTAATGCAAACTATCTGGTAGCAACTGCCTGATAGGTGTTTGTATTTTGTTAGTTCTGTACTTCAATATCAAATTCTGCTTGTTTTCTGTGCTTCACTTTGTTGTGAAAGAAAGAGCATGAACTGTAATTAAAATGACAGAATAAAATCAGTAAAATGTTTGATTAGTTACATATAACAAAAATAGGGGAAATCATTATATGTCAAAGTTCAAAAAAAAAATTATTCAAAGTTTCTCCATATAAAATACACATTTATAATACATTTCATATTTTAATGAATACCCACATATATATATATATATGCCAGCTTAACATAAATTGAAATGGAATTTCTGATATTAATTAATGATTAGTTCAATATATTATTTATTTTAGAATAAGAATTGTAGGACATGGCTATTGAACAAAAATACTTGCTAACGTAGCAGATCTGTAGTCAAGATGGATCTGCACAAAAAGACAAAAAGTGATAACAATTGGTTCAGTGCCAGGTATTTAGTCTGAGAAAGCTCTTGCCGGGCGAATACGCAGTAAATGGCACATGTGTAAACGTGGTGTTTTGCCGGTAGATGTTCTTTTGCTACGTGTGGCTGTAGAAGCTATTTGTACATGATGCTCATTTATTATAAATTATGGTCATGACATGTACACTGTACAGTTATTGATGGCTGCTGTTCCTCAAGTTTTAATCCCAATTACTTTTTCCCCCTAAGTACCCTTGCGGCTATAGGAAATGTAACCAATGGACATGCATGCTGCAATATTGTAAAATTAATTTGTTTCCGAGATAGAGCCATCGCCGCGTATTGTTTACCTGTGTCCCGTGACCGAGATGGTGAAGCGTGTAATGGTATTCCCTGGGGCCCAGCTGTTCATGTCAGTCAGTCGTATGCGAAATTTAAAAAAAAAACAATAAATTGACCAACTGGTAGGAATTTAGAAGAATTTTTTAAAAAATTAAATGGCTTAATAAAGTATAGTCAATAACTTATTAATGATTGTTTGCAAGATTAACCGTGTTTCGTTTTATACGTTTTATGAACAGCATGCAAAGACATTTTAAGCTCCTGTTATCTGCTACCTTTTCAAGCAAGTTATATTCCCTACCTACGCTATCGCATTCCCTGGGCGCGTCTCGGGAGTATGTCAAGCACGTCATGTTTCGGCCGCAGAACGGTATTTTAGTATTGAGCATTGGCTTGGGTGGGGACTTGTCAAAAATAAATGTTGAACTGGTGGCCCTGTCACTGTCATTGTTTGACATCGGCGCGGCGCACTAAATCGGGGTGTTTGATTATGTTTAACAGACTTAATTAAAGTATGTGCTAAGGCAGAAGTTGCGAACCCCCAAACATAACTATCTACCATTCCACCCCCAACCCCCCCCCCCCCCCCCCCCCCCCCCCCCCCCCCCCACTTTTCCCCCCAATTCGGCTTGGGGGATAGCTATGCATTTATTCATACTTGGCGCTAAAATTTACATTATAATCCTTTGTTTGATTGTTAGTGCTGATCACGGCTTTATTTGTTCATTAGATGATAAACGTCGACGTTATAATTATAGTTATATTGGACTTGCCCAGAGAATACCTTTACTAAATGCCGACTGGTTCCGAAGAACTCCAAAAAGTGTCACCCAGGTAGCGGCACCCTCCCCACCTTACATCACAGCATTTGTTGATTTATTTAGTGTTATGTTCAGCATAGTTTTGTTAAAAAAATAAATTTTAAAAAAAATTTGGAAAGTACTGTTTCATATCAAGGTAATCTTCCGGTGCCTACAGCCAGTTCACATATTCACCAGGTGTAAAAGTCAAACAATGTTGCACACGTGATTTCGGTTGTGGCGAAATTTCGATAAGTGCACCCATTGTGATCTGCTCTGTGGGTGAATGTGCCACCACCCGCCCAGTTTAAACGTGTGTGCGAACTTAAGAAACTTAAGAGTTCCGATGCTAAAATGACGCCGGTGTACTTACTGATAATGGCATTGCATGTAGATGAGTCACGCATGTTTATTTTACGCTGGGTTTGCTTTCCACTGCTAATAATAGAGTTCATTTCGAATTTATGTCAATCTGTCCTTTTAAAGCACCATGTTGACGGTATTTAAAAGTGTTTCAATTCTTGTATAATTTAAAGGGTGGCTGGTGCGCAAAGCAGCCTCTACTTGTAGTATGCTACAGCAGGGGTCCATTAATCTCTTATGTTGTGGACAAGGTGTCCATTTCCTTTATAAGAAGGGTTCCGTGGCCCTTACGTGCAGTGATTATTTCAGAAATTCTCTCCTCCCCCCCGACTTTTTCGAGGGGGGGGGGGCAGTGCCAGTTGATTTATTGTTGGACATATTTTTGCCCCGGGGCACTTGCCCCCCCCCCCCCCCCCCCCCCCCCCGCCCGAGATAAAGCTGAAAGAAACCCTGCTCACGTGTCCGACCCAGGGTCCCTGGAACAAAAGAGGGCTAAGAGCCGTGATACTTAAGTCTTAGTCTATCAAAGCTTTCCCCAAATGGTGGTCAGCGGACCGGAACCAGTCAGCGAGTCTTACGTTGCCGCTCCGCACAACATGAATGTTTATTATTAAATTGAAATTTAAGTATAATGCGTAAATCTTCACCGGTCCCTGGGCCTGATGCAATGTCGAAACTCGTTCACCGGTCCGCGAAACTTTAAATTTTGGGAAGTCTGGCTTATAGTATTCCCCATATAATTTAGCGATTGACGTAATTAATTCGAATCATTTAGCAGTTTCAATGCTCCCATACAGGATAGAGGATCCTTTTAAAAAGCTGCACCTTAGTGCGTTCCTAAAAGTAATTGTGAGTAAAGTAGCTGATGGCCGGCTTGTATATTGTTTGTTGCCGCCCCCCTCCCCCACCACTCAATTTTTTTTCTTTGCAAAGGATGATTCATCGTTATGACTATGACGGCACCAACTTTAGTCAGGCTATATAAGAGGTTTGTCCCCGGATCATGCCTTTATTTGGGAAACCTTGGTAGTTAGTCACACCATAATGTAGTCAAGCGTGTAGGCCGCAAGATGGTCTGTTGTCAGCTTGTAATGAACACGGCTGCGTACGTAAACGGTGTTCATACGGCCTGACCTAAATATTCCTACATGGTTGACCTGCATTCATGTTGTAATTGTTGCCGCCAGTGTCCTTGTTTTATATAGCTGTAACCGGGTGCTTTGAAACTGTGCAAGTGGTCGGCCGAGAAAGTTCTCTTGGCTTGGGGGATTGGTGTGGTAGGGTACCAGCTTATCGGCTGAGTTCAAGTGTGAGTGTGTTGTTTACTGACAATGCCATAACTTTATTTAAAAAATGGTTTAACACTAAATTGAGCAACGGGCTCTCTGTCCCAGAATATATTTATATTTTAAATGAAAGACAATGTGCACATAAAGAATAGACCTAAATAACGATATAAATAATGTGAAAAAAATAATTATCACGAGGTTTTAAGTCTTAGAAAAGGCCTGCACAATATGTGGCCCGCCGGTACCCACTTGGCGGCCCGCGAAATAAAGAAAAAGTCTTTATTAATATTATTTTTTAATTAGCTTTCGCCCCTGTCCTATCATCTTTCGCCCCGTACAAGTTTTTCATAAAGCCTTACATTTTGAGTTGTGCAGGCCTGTCTTAGAGGCTTCAGTTCGAAACTTAGTTTTTAGAATGAAATCATTCGCTCCTGTATGAAGAAGTAGTACAGTCATTAGCCCGAAATGGTTTTGTAATTAAATGTAATACTATAGCTATCAGACTGGATTAATTGGAGCTACCGGAGAAATGTACTTTTAAATGTCACTTTAATATTGTTAAATTAGCGGCCGACTTGTTTGTTAATATTCCACTATAAGGCTTACTTTGTTTAACGCTCTTCTCCGAGTTTATATTTTCCTGCGTAATAGGTAATTTTAAGCTATTTAAAAGTATTCAAAGGGGAAATCGATGAATCCAGTGATTCATACATTTTTCATTCTGCTACTTGTTGATAGTGAAGGATGCACATTTGATTGCCAGAGCAGAATGACTCACATTTTTTTTTATTAGTCAAACGTTTTATGTCAGAATGGTTGACTATTAAGTCTGTGGATACGCTAACCCGTTATCGATTAGTTTAGTCACATTTCTGTATGGGCACTTCCAGGAAAAAAAGTAAAAATCAACACAGTTCAACTTTGGACTTCTGTGTTAAATTAGCTTTAACAGTTTATGTATACACACACACACACACACACACACATATATATATATATATATATATATATATATATATATATATATATGTGTGTGTGTGTGTGTATACATATATATATATGAAATGAAGAAAAAATCATGTTGCCAAAGCAAGTTCACACATGCGTACATACTTTATTTCTCTGTTATTTTTTTTTATGGGAACGTTTATGTATAGAATGGTCTAATGGGGTCACAAAGCTAACGGGCGAAGTGTCGACACACTTGTTGTCTGGATGAGCTTAAATACTTTCTTAATCCTTTTTAACAAGTATCTAAACATCGTTGGAATGCCACTTTATCATATGAGTACAAATAAGGCCATCATCATGACCTTAATTCGCGCCCTCCTCTGTTTCCCTTCTCCGCGTTAATACCCCCCCCCCCTTTTTTCCGTGACGCCACGGACAGTGAGTGAGTCATCGGTTCCCAAATAGCCCGGTTGGCGTCCTACAATCAATACATTTCCTTCCTATAACAATAACAACGAGCTTCATTGTTTTTGTTTTCTGTGTTGACCTGAACATATATAGTTTTTATCTACGTCTTTAAAAAAAAAAATTAAAAAATGTCTCTAATCTTTGGTATCAAATTCACCATGGCCATTGGTGAACGGTGCTAGCATGGTTATTGGCCTAGGTATTTTCTTCTGCTTGTTCTCTTTCGTTTATGGATTACATTTTTCTCCCCTCTCATATTTCCTTAAATTCTTAAAAAGCATACTATATTTATTAAGGGCCCCCTTCTTTTTGTCCCACCTCTTGTACCAGGCATGTTAATCATTTTAAGTTTTCTAAAAAAAAAAAGAAAAGAAAATGATATTTTAACCTTGCGACATTTTCATTTGATGTGTCTTATTTTAAAGTTGATATTATTGTGCATGGTTATAAGGCTTAGATTGCTATTTGACATGTTAATTTTAACATTTTGTGATTGTCTTTCAGACGTTTACAGCATGGTGCAACTCTCACTTACGAAAAACGGGCCCACAAAATCAAATAGAGAATATAGAGGAGGATTTTCGAAACGGACTCAAACTTATGTTATTGTTAGAAGTCATCTCCGGGGAACATTTACCCAAGCCGGACAGAGGCAAGATGCGCTTCCACAAAATAGCCAACGTCAACAAAGCTTTAGACTTCATAGCCTCAAAAGGCGTCAAATTGGTCTCTATAGGAGCCGAAGGTAAGGGCCTTTTCCTTTAAACATTCCTGCATCAATACTTCTTCTTCTTTATTTTGAGGGCCCACGATCAATGAATTGATCATTCTGGCTCCTATGTTTCAGAGGGGTTTGCAATGTTACTGTGCATGGGTTTCAAGGGGATACTTAACTGGTTGCAAGGGCTACTCAGCAGTAGTGTTACGAACTGGGGTTTGGAATACAGGAGGCAATAGACACAAATGTGTCGAGTGTAGGCGCCTCAACTGTTGCTTTTGGAAACTTGTTCCAGTCCCCTATTGTCTTCGGCAGGAATAAGGAGCTCCTGTTCTTTGTTCTTGTTTTTACCAGCCAGAACTGTCTGTTGTTGGCCTCATCGCTGTCTAGGGGAAAGATGAACGAGTTTCTATTTCAAAATAGTATTTGATTCCGGAGCAGTGGACCAGCCCATTTTTGATCTTGTACAATATGTTGAGCCTGGATAGTCGTCGTACTTCCAATGTTGACCAGCCCGGTGTTTTTAACATGCTGCCCACACTTGAGGTGTTTCTGTAGCGGTTCATGACAAAGCGTGCTGCCCGTCGCTGGACCGCCTCCAACCTGTCAATGCTTTTCTGGGTAAATGGGTCTCAGACTGTAGTAGCGTACTCTAAAAGAGGCCGGACAAAGGCTTTATAGGCCTTTTCTTTCACGCTTGAGTTGCTGATCTTCAGATTGCATCTAGGAACCACAGGGTCTGGTTTGCCCGGTTGCACACACTATTAATGTGCTCGTCCCAGCGGACCTCTCTTTGAATGGTAACACCCAGTTACTTTACGGAGGAAACTGGCTCAAGAATATGGCCATGCAGTTCGTAAGAGTGGTTTAGAGGGGATCTGCTTCTGGAGACTGACAGGGTCTGGCACTTGACGGGATGAAATTCCATGTCCCAGCTCATCTCCCACTCAGCTAACCGATTGAGGTCTTGTTGGAGCTGGCTCTGGTCAGAGCTGTTGAGGAATGTCCTACTTTTGGTTTTGCATGATGCTGTTTTGTCTGATATAAGATAACAACTCGTTCTCTGGTTATAATGTCATAAATGGTTGCACGAGTGTTTAAAACACATATCTAATATTACATCAACAAGATAAAACGCTGGCAGGGTTATAGTCCTTAGTTGATATGAGGGTTGGTCAAGGTGGAATTTTTTTTTTTTTTTTTTAATAGTATTTGCTGTGGTTCTAAGAGCAGTTGATACATCAAACACACAGAGATACATTCACAGGGGAATTTGTGTTTTCCTGTTTTCACAAGGGTCACTTGCTAAGTCAGGAGTAGTGATTCCCTCTCTGGTTAGTCACCACTTGACACCCGAGCTCTTGAGTTAATTATTATTTTTTTTGTTGTTGCTGTTGTTTGGTGACCTGGATAGGTCGAATACAAATGGCTGAAATTGAAAGCATGCGGCATGCAATATTTATCTGGCCATTAAACTGTAATGCATCCCACTCGTTGTTCGCCAGCTGCTGCGGTGTGTAGCATCTTTAGGGTTGCCACATTCAGGCACCACCGACCTTTTTATTTTAAAAGTTTCGTGTTAAAAATTTTAACCCTTGGAATGCACCACACCAATGACGTGGCCATGATTGACCTTTGGATAAATCTGCCAGCCTGTAGACGTATCTTTGGTGTAAATGATAGTTTTCAAGAATAACTGTTTGCAATCTCCCCCCCCCCCCCCCCCCCCCCCACCCTCTAACAATAATTTCCACCAATGTTCCCTCTAAGGTTTGTTGGTTCTTTTGCAAAATCATAAAGTTGTGTGAAAATTTTTACAGCATCAATTTTTTTGTGGGCAAAATTTTCAGACTACAGACACAAACAAACACTTAAGTGGAAATTAGCTGCGCGGTACTCAAAACTGCTGCGCGGTGTCTGTGAGATTGCTTCGCAGCCGCGCAGCTTTAAGGGAACATTGCTTTCCATCCCTTCCCAATTAAAAGCCATATCTATCTGCATTCGAATGCACACATGGAGATAGCAGATGGTTCTTGATATATTTCAATTTCAGCACCCTGTAAAATGTAACCAATTATTCCTATTGATCTTTTCAACTGGGTCAACATACTGATGAATTCTCTCTCTCTCTCCCGCCCTCCCCTCCCTTCATACCATACATTACACCCCCCCCCCAAGCCACCAGGATCAACAAAGATACTATTATTAGTTAACGGCATTCAGTCATGACCAGGTGTAATGTCATCATAGCTGGTGCATTGGCGGTTCAATATTAACTCCTTATTCCCAAGGTTCTCGGTCAATGTTTAGTTTGCCGTACGTTACATTTTTTCGTACGCTCTTCCTCTGATCCCGCCGCTACAAGAGGATCATGTCAGATAAAATAAGCGAATGTTCGGTAGTAAACGAAAGCAATTGAGCCAGTATCCCCGAAAGCAGCTGTTGAGGCTGCCATTGCAACAGTTCATTAAGTGTTGACCATTTATGGACGTGTCACCGGTAATCTCTTAGTATGTCCAACAGCTTGCTCATCCCTATCCTTTTATTTTAATATGAAACCATGACTTTGGTATTTACGCGTGCAATACATTTCGTTACGCCTGTATGTCATGCCACCTGGTCAAGATTATATGAGAGGTGAAACTAGGCTATCCTAAATTTTAGACGAGGAATTTACAGCTGGTCCATTGAATTTTCATGTAATGTGTTTCAATCTTAAAGGACTGGCCATATTGGGACCGTTCTCGTATTTAAATACGACAGCCCATCCTTGGAGTTTCCCTCAACACCCACTTACTACGCTATTATCCAAGTGGCTCACGATAGTAAACCCAGGGCGAGAGGTCATACAGATGGATATTTTCAATAGCAGATTAGCAGTCCGAAAAAGGAGACATAGGATAGATAATATGATTCTAAAGTAATGTCTGTCAAATGAATAGGTTCAGCTGCACCTAAACATGACATCTTATTAACACGAGTCCAACGCTTTCACCCAAACTTCCATTTTTTCGTGATTCCTTTGTTGGCGATGTGCTTCACGTCACGGTTATTTTCCCCAAAAAGCAATTTACTTAATACAATCTTACACACACACAGGTGGACCTTAATATTCTGTAAGGTTGGCCTCAGGGAAGCCACCTGGTGTGGTCTTATTGTACGAGCAATTCTGTTTTGCTTTGTTTTTCAGTGTGCTGAAGGTTGCCTTATCTATTAACTATGCACTTATTCCCGTAGCCGTACCTAAAATTAACTGTCAGCTAGCGTCGTAAATGTCACTTAGGATTGGGGAGTCGGACGAAAGATTTGTAACACCGTCCATAAGGAAATATTTTATTTAATAGCTATGAACCGCAACGAAATTGTCTTACTCCGGAGCCGTATCCCCGGAATATCTTGTCATTGAAGATATGCAGCTTCTACATCTTGCTGTCATCATCGGGTTTTAACCTTTGATACCCTTTTATCATAATCATGCTGCAATCCAATTTGCAATGACCAACAAAGCACACACAATGCACTCTGTAAAGGAAAGGGACTAATTGTGTTGTTGCCCGCGTGCTTGTCTGCCAGAGATGTTTTCAAACGTACACCTGTGTACCTACCAAGCGACAACACAAGAGCGTGTACTTTCCAGGCCCCAACAAAAACGGGATGTGCTGACAGGGGGAAGAAGACGCTGAGTGGCAACTTCTCAAGCAATTTCGCGGAACACACTTAATGGGGATACACCAGAGCGTTGATAAATCTTTTCGTGTCAGCTGATGGCTTACAAGTTGAGTTTATCACATCTGGATCTGGCGTATATATATATATATATATATATATACACACATACACATATACATACACATACATACATACACACACATAAATTATGTAACATCAAATCTTAACTCAAAAGTATTCATAATTAGAGACAGCGGAGTCTTTAATAAAACAAAAATACTACCACAGAATGAGAGTTTATCCATTGCAAATTAAACAGAAAGGCAGTGTAGCATCCAGTAGTTTTTCTTACTTTTTAAAAAAAGTCGCAGATTAAGTTGCAAGCCCACCACCCGAACCCCTCATTGCCTGCATGACTTTTCTGTTACAGGGAGTACATGTCAAGTAGCATCCACTATCCCAACCTCCCTACCCCCCAGCTACTCACATTTACTAGTGCAGTGGTTCTCAACCTTTCTAATGCCGCGACCCTTTAGTACAGATCCTCATGTTGTGGCGACCCCCAACAACAAAATTATTTTCGTTGATACTTTATCTTTGTAGAGTATATTTGTTTTCAGATGGTCTTAGGCGACCCCTTGGAAAGGGTCGTGCGACCCCCAAAGGGGTCGCGACCCACAGGTTGAGAACCGCTGTACTAGTGTAACTGCTGTATATTTAAATGTTTTTTTTTAGACTACTACACAAATAAGTCGTAACGTTGCAACTTGTCCGACTGGTTATTTATACTTTGATGGGAACCAAGCCCCATTTATTTGTCCCATTTCCGCACTGGTAGTAGCCGTTCTCAACAATTTAACTCGCCCACCCGAACACTTTTTTAAAATATACTTCTCAAGATATCTTTTCTACACAGGGTCACATTCAATCAATTTACTAGTTACTTGCCCATCCCATTCGAAGTTAAATACGGCATGACTTGTTCTAGTTTGAGAATCCGTGTATTTGTTAACAAGCGTATCCTGGAGTTAAAGAATGTTATCTTAAGTGTAAGCCCACTGCCGTAAATAGTCAGTGAATTATGCGCATTCATTCCCGTATCGTTTTAGATCTCACATAGCGGAATAGACAGATCACACACAAAAAAACGAAAGCGCCCTCAAATAAAGTAACACTCTGTAGGTAAATGGAATTTCGACCATTGCAATTTCCCCTTTCAATGTATTAATGACACCCTAGTTATTTTTAATATAATCACAGAATGGATTCGTTCTCGTTGGGGCTAAGCCCAGTCAAAGAGATCTGGCACACGGCAAAGCTGTGGGCTTTCACTGAAATGCCTTCATACCGATTACGCTAATAAAAAAATCTCAATGCCACATTTAATATGGGATTTATTCATAGGTGGTTTTTTTCCCAATATATATACTTTTTTTTTTACACGCCCCCTTTCCAGTAGATTTGGAATTTATTAGAAGTAGCTGCTAATCGCAAAACGTTGAACACAAACATAATTTATTTAGAAATAAATTTATGGGACACATTTTTTTTTAAAGCCAAAGCCGGGAGAAACATTTAATTATTGATCACTTTGTTCAGAAACAAGTCACAGGTAGAAGAAGGAGGCACATACATTATAATGGTCAAAGTTTCTCGGACTGGTCATTCGTATTGTATTGGTTGCCAGCTCCCGGAAAGTTCACGCAGAGCCGTGTTGTGCTAATGTGACAAGATCAGAATTTGGAGAAACTGTTTTTATATAAAGCAGGCCTGCACAACTCAAAATTAACGGCGGGCCGTAATACTTTATGAAAATCTTGTGCGGGCCGAAATATTTAGTTACTTCGGGGGCCGCGCAGGCCTGCTTAAAGGGGATTGACAAAATATCAAGTGCTGTGGATCGCTTTATTAACGAGGTCGCGTTAATTTGGGGTTTCACTATTTGTATGCGACCTAAAACCGTAGCTTACAAAGCGCTCTCCTTGCGAATATTATTGGAATAAAAAACAATTTGTTTGCTCTCATTCCAAACTGAAGTTAACTAATTTTTATACTTTTTTTTTCTCTTTCCTTGTTCACTTTAAAAATGTCGGGAGCCATACAATAACCACGTTGTATCCAAATGTGCAGTGCTAGCGCAGTTTCACTGTAATTTTATATTACATGTACTGCAAAAGTCCTTTCCATCTAAAAATGTAAAAAGCTGTACCGGTAGTCATTTCTTCTTCTTCGCCCCCCCTCCCCCCCCCCCCAACCCACCACTAACTATAATATCACCAGTTCATCTAAAAATGTAAAAAGCTGTACCGGTAGTCATTTCTTCTTCTTCGCCCCCCCTCCCCCCCCCAACCCACCACTAACTATAATATCACCAGTTCTTAATTCGGGTGAATGGACAACAAACCTTGTGATCCCTATCATTGGCACTTCAAGAACCGACAACAAACATAAAAACGGTCCAGTTATTTAAATAATAGCTCTAGCGTGCATGCTCTAATGTTACCTTATTGACATGACGCCCCCCCCCCTCTCATGCATCACAAGCATCCTATTCCCCCAAAATAAAATGGGGGTTTCCGTAATCCAGTATACACACGTCTCTACCTTTATAGAAAACTGCTTATAAACATCGTTAATTGGGGTTTAAATCCATGTTCTTGTCAAATGAGCGTATCACTTAACCGACCGCCTGTTGGATGAGGTCAGGGTGCCGTTTGAATTTCCTCCAACTCTTGCACCTGTCTCGTTTATTATGGGGTGGGGTGTGAGGATGGGTTGGGGTGGGGGGAAATGTTTGGGGGGGGGGTTCGAATGCACCATCTGGCATTCTATTGCAGATGTAATCGCTGAATATTTTTTCAACCTCACCTCACCCTGCGGCGCAAATGACATATTTGAATATGTAATTCATTAAGTAAGGACCATGCTACCCCAATTAGAAAATGTCGAAATTGACACAGTTGTGATAATTCTTTTTATTTTATCTTTTAATTCTATTTTTTTAATGCATTAATTCTTAATTAATTTTGTATTGCAAGTTTAGATAAGTGAAAGGTAACTTCATTGTTTATTATCGAGATATCCTGACCACGTGTCCAACCCGTGAAACATTGTGATTGTTCACCCAGATTTAGAACACGGTAGATGTGTCCATAGGATGACGTCAACTAGCGCTTATACTCATACCTTTGATCAAGTATATCAGAATTGGGATAGATAGAAAAATCTATCAGTGCGTGTGTGCATGCCGTCGCTACACAAATTTGTGACGTCACATGTAAGGGAATTTCACTGAAGACTAAGTATGACGAGGTTTAGCCGGGGTGGGGGGGAGTGGGTGGGTGGGGGGGCTACAAAGCTAAGTGTAACTGAGATTGACAGTAAATAGTGTTTATATCTATAAACGATTTGTGCCAATGGCACAGCAGGTGTGTTGTGTTAAAATTACAACACACTCTTCGTTACACACGCGCGTCTTGGCACTAGGCAGCAGCTGGCTGTAAAACTGCCAGAGCAGCAACTTGCACTACTAGTAACGGTTTGCGGCGGCAAGGTAAAAAGGTCATCGTGGAGACTCCTATTCACCGTGCTAAGCACAGGTATCCGAACAGTAAGCGCTTTATAGGCTCGCTCGTGTCGCTTCAGGAAAGCTGTCAGGAAAATCAGCGTAACGCTATTGTTGGTTTCACCATTGTTTGGTCGATACACCAGATTGCCCAATTAAATTATCATACCAGGGCTTTTAAAAAACAGCATAAAAGCACAGTATTACTGTCAGGTTTTTTAAACTTAAAGAATTTATTTTTAGCGCGCCCCCCACCCTCATTTTTAAAAAAAATAGCAATAAAATTATGAAGTAGCAACAGTTTAAAAGTAACTTACAGCCCCCCCCCCCCCATCTAACCTACTGTGGAGGCCTGAAATATTCAATCATACCTAAGCCGACAGCTTGTACTTAACTTGTAGGATTTTCCGTGTTCTGGTGTTCAGCATAATTGCTGACTGTACAGATGCAGCTTGGACTTGGACCAACCTGCGGACTCACTTTCATTTCATGCCTCACCAAAACCACGCATTTATCACAATAACAGGTTGGGTTGAGCAGTTAAAACAAAACATCGTTTCCTTCTGTGGTATTCACGCCCCCCCCCCTCCCCAAGAGTTTGTAGGATTTTTAACACCCGAGAGCCCGATAAATATGCTTTCTTTTTGATCGGCGTGGGCGTGATTAATTATTATTTTTAAAAAAATTTAGTCTGCGATTGGGTATAAATGACCGTGGCTACCAGCAGTATGGTTTGTCTTTTCTATGTAATTGCAAGCAATATCCATATATACTTTAGGCATGACTCACATTGACTTCCCCTTTTGAAGCCGTGAATGTTATCACTTGATCATATTGTCATGACGTCACGGCGTTATCCAAGGCAAATTTCGAGCACTACTTTCATTCTACGTCTGTAAATATGACTGTCTGGTTTAGATTTAGCGATACCGGTACGCTAGCTCGTAAAAGTAGTATTTTAGATTTTTAGATAGCAGGCGAGTCATAAGTTTAGAACTTTTCCCCTTGGTTTGTTAAGGTAATTTTAGCTTCAGGAATCTTGTATGTAATTGAATAAGGCTCTGTTCACATTAGAGCCGTTCTCACGATGAAAGTAGAGCAGCCCCTGTTTAATTATCGTGTGCACACCTCTCACTTTCTAGGGGCACAGCACGTGCGTGGGTGCAGCCACCAGGCAGCTTTTCTATTCCTGCATTTTAACATACTTTGACCCAAAATTCAGCCGAAGAAAAGGAAAAATTCTCTATTACTCACTGTCTTATATTTCCAGGTAGCACTTGTCTACCTTAGAACCCCCCCCCCCTACCCCCCTTTTTTGTGTGGCTTTCTCTTCTCCCCCCTTCTCTTTCTCTCTCTCTCTCTCTCTCTCTCCCCCCCNCCCCCCTCTCTCCTCCTCCTCCCCCACACACATTTAAAAGCACATTTGTTGTGTATTTTTGGGAAATAAGCCCACTAAAACGATCAGCACAATAAAAAATAAAAATACTAAAAAAAAAACCAACCAGCTCACTAAAACGATTGCCACACTAAAAAAAATCACACACTAAAATAATCAGCATCTTTAAAAAAAATCACACACTAAAGTAACCAGCACATTAACAAAATCAGCACACCAAATTTTAATAATTAAACTGAAAGATGATCAAGCAATGTTATTTTAACAAAACCTTTTAAAATTTATTTTTTTATAATTTTTATTTATAACACTTCATGGGATCCATGTGTTGGTGCTATTTGAGTCTTTAAATGAGCACAAGTATAATTATAATAATAATTAGAAAGCAATATTGTGTTTCGATGCCATCTCTAGTTTAGTTGGATATAAAAATTATTGGTAGTTTTCAATAAAATCAAAAAAAAAAAAAAATCAAAATTTGATTTTCCTAACAGTGCAAATTTGCCCACTCAAGGTTATATTTAAACAAATTTGCAACATTCCATCCATTTATGTATACAATTTATTGTGCTAGACACTCCTAGAAAATAGATTTATTAAAACCTGTTGAATTTAATGAACACCCTGAGCTGCCACTTTAAATGTGCTGGCTTTTTGAAAGGAGGTGATGGGTTGGGGCGTTTTTGGACAGGCCTGTGGCCCATTTTACATGCTATTGCTTTTTTTAATGAAAAGATTCCACTGTCAGTTAATGTGTTCTTCCTCAAGCACAACACACACACACACATCCTAAGGTACATAATTATTAAAAATATAATCCCAGCCATAATCCTTAAAATATTCTTAAAATATATGCATATAAAATAAATGTATAAATTATTTTTTTCAGAAATTGTGGACGGAAATGCAAAAATGACACTAGGTATGATCTGGACAATTATCCTCCGTTTTGCCATTCAAGATATCACCGTTGAAGGTTAGTGGAAACACCTAAATAAATCACATACTTTCAGTGCATATTGTTGTATCATTCTGCTGTTTCTAATGTTGCCTTTTGCTGGAGAAATTTATGAAAAATTTTCAATTTTTAGCAAATCAATAGCTTTTGCTTTAAAAAAAACCTATTTTTAGCACTTATTTTAAAGTTATCTATTGTATCCTCCTTTCAGAACTGACAGCTAAAGAAGGCCTGCTGTTGTGGTGCCAGAGAAAAACTGCTCCTTACAAAAATGTTAATGTACAGAATTTTCACCTGAGGTATATGTTCATTTTGTCTGAATCAAATTGTATCTAATTAATAATGAATTTTTAAATGAACTCTCTGCCTTCATTTGAAAGTTTCTTTTACATGAAAGGTACTGTATTACATCATTAATTTATTTTCCTTCTTTGTGACAATCTTTTGGTTGTGCACCTTTGTCACATTTTTTTTGTTTTAATTAAAAAAATCCAATATGCTATTTAAAAAAAATAATAGGGATTTAATCCAGGTTCATGTTACAGATTATCATCAATTTTTTTATAGTTAAATTCCCTGATTAAAGACACTAATAATAGTAATAATTTATTTACAGATTTAGGAATCATTCTTGACCAAAATTTTAAATCTAAAATATATACATCCTACAATGAACATAACTATTTAACCATTTTGTGGTGAGCCTTGTTTATAGAAATGGCAACATTCCATACATTTTTATTCCTGTTTGGATGACAGGTTCAATAAACTTAAAAAAAATTTGTTTTGCAATTTGAAATGTTATGGCTAAGGTCAAAACAATACTTGTTGAGGTTATAGTCACAGCAAAAAAAAAAAAAAAAAAATGGTGTTACTGTGAGTTTGCATAAACAGCCAGTAATTAGGGGGCGCGGACATTGGGACACATCCTCACAAACACTGCTTCTCTTTGCCTAGGGCTCAGTAAGAATGTTTAGATTCATACAAAAAGGTTGTATCTGATTACACAAGTGTAAAGGAGTTAGCTGGGGAAAGGGAAAGGCAATTTAAGCACCAGTCTGTCCGAGAATGAGTGTGAGTCATGGAGGAAGGTTATAGCCCGATGCTAAAAGAAACTAATAATTTGATGTGCTTTTTGAATGAGACAAGAATCAATTCTTGAAAGAAAGATTGGGATTTTTATTAATCAACAGTAATAAATTAAATGCAATGAGAAAGGTATCTAAGAGGTCACACCCTCAACCAGTCACATGTAGAAACATAAGTGGCAAGATATTACTATAAACACAACACAAGGGTTTAAAATGGAATTAAATATACATTTAACAAAATTCAAACTTAGTTTTGTTACAAATAGGTGGTAATATTGCAATAACATCTGCAACCATTTCAGCTGGAAGGATGGTTTAGCCTTCTGTGCTTTGATCCATCGACACCGCCCTGACCTCCTAGACTACTACAAGCTCTCTAGGGTAATCAGATTCCACTGGCCACTGTTTGACCAAAGAGTGCTACCTAGTCTGCTTGCCTTTGATTATTATTTTTTTTTTCATTTTTAGTTGTGCATTTTTATCTTGCGGCAATTATTGTCTGAGAAGACTACTTTTTTTTACTAATTTCTTTAGTTTTGCTTTTGTATTATCAGCTTCACAGAAAAAAAGGGGGGGGGGGGGGGGTGGGGGGGTTGGGAATCTAAAGAAAATGTACCATAATCTTCTCTTGTTCTTTTCAAGCTAGCCCTAAAGATTTTTATAAAATAACAAACCACTGATGTATTCTGCAAAATGCACCTATTACCACATCATATTAAACTAAACTACCCTTTGCAGCTCTTGAGTTTTTTTTAAAACTTTTTAAATATGAAATCAATGCTAATAGTTACATAGCACTCTCCAACTGTCCATCCTTGGTCACAAACACATTTGTTCGCTTTATGAGAGAGAGAGAGACTTTTTCTCCCTCAAGCATGAGTGCATGCATATGAGTGTTAAAGCAATCTGTTAAAATATTAATTTAGTTTTGTTTTAAAGAAAATTCATAGTTGAAACCATAAATAATAGGAAATTGAAATTTAAAACTCTAAGATAATCTCTAATTTAAATGAATCTGAAATTGCATACAACTGGTGAATGGGTACTGTATATACTTGTGTATAGGTCAAACTTTTTTAAAACTAAAATTTCTATATCAAGAGTGTGACCCATCCACTTGACACCAAATTTGTTAACTGTTATTCAGTGTAGAGTCGTTATTTATATGAAAAGTCTGAGAATTGCTTTCTCTGTTGCTCTCACTTATGCTCCATATAACTGCAAATACCTACATTAACAATCCCAAAGGGTGCTATCTATCCATTGGTGTGACCTATACGCCAGCATATACAGTATATTAAAATGATAGTTTTTAAAAAATGAAAGCCATCGTCTGCGGGTAAGGTTTTTGTGATCACTGTAGTTTGTCTAAATGGATAGCTGTCTGGTTGTTACATGTTTGAATTTTTCTCACTAATACGTCAGTTTGTTTTCTTTCAGGTATGATGAAGAATGAATTGCATTGCCAAGTTTTATTTCAATTTACTTTTTTTTTCCCTCACTAATCAAAGGTTGAACAATAATTAGCTTTCAGTCTCTAATACAGCACCTTTTGCCATGATTGTGTACTGAAACTAAAAACAAGTCATTCCATTTTGGTCAAAACTTTTAAGCATGATTAACAAAACTGCTGATTTCAACTGAATAGTGTTTTTAATTAGAAGTATGTGAATCTATATTTTCCCCCAATGTTATCAAAATGTTAATATTTGTAAAAACATTTTCCCAAAAACAAAAATTAAGTTTAAAAAAGTATCCAAAAAAAAAAATCATTGTAAGAATATATTCAGTTGGATTCAATAGTTTTATGGAACATCTTGAAAGTGCTCCATAAAAAAAAAAGAAGCTTTTTTTAAAAATATTTATTTTTACAATTTTAAAAATTTCTCTTCTGAAAATCTTCTGGCTTCTCTCTTGCATGGTTTGCGCTTGTCTTCCTCAGTTTTAAAGATGGTCTCGCATTCTGTGCACTCATACACAGGCACCGGCCTGACCTTCTCGAGTACCATAATCTTACAAAGGTAACAATAGATGAAGGTGTAAGTTTCAAAAAGACATGGTAGAGTCAATTGCAGATCTCCCAGCATAATATGTTTAGAGATATCTTTAATATAAAATATATTTTATTATGCTGCTTAAATGTTTTATGTCAATCTAATTCTCAAAGTTGCCGTTCTGTTACTGTCTTCTTTACACCTTAAGTCTGCTACAAATCTGCTTGGTAGTTTTGCTTTATTTAAAAAATCAGCTATTTTATTTATTAGTATTAGCATTTAGGAAATTCGTTCTATAAAATGTATGTATTTTAAAAAATTCCTTATAATCTTTTTAACACAGCTGAAAGTTTAAAAAAAAACCCCTAGTTTTCTTTATTATAAAATATTTTACAAACTTGTTATAAATATTTTACAAACTTATATTTAAATATGTTTATAGTTAACTTAACTTGTATATAGCTTAAAATTATAATAAGGAATTGAATACTTTTGCCTTTAATATATTTTTGTATGATTTAATCAAAGTTGTCCCTATGGTAATAAAGGGTTTGACAATAAGGCATTTAAACAAATAAACTGCTACAAATTAAATGTTTTCTCTGTACAGGAAAATCCTTTAGAGAACCTGAACACAGCTTTTGATATCGCAGAAAAACATCTGGATATTCCCAGAATGTTGGATCCAGAGGGTAAGATTTGACAGATCTGAACAAAATCCAAGGGTTTTTGGGGAAACATCAAGTAAACATAAAAAAAAATTTTAAAAATTCAAAATGGAAATAAATTCTTAAAACAACTTTTGTACAACCTTTTTATTTTTTAGTGATATAGTTCTGATTTAAGAATCCAGAATATATTTAATTTTGCTTAAGGATTAGAGTTTTTTTAAATGTAACTAATAAAAAATGTTAAGTTTGATAACATGATCTTAAATGATCAATAACACAAACTTGGTTAGCCTCAGATTTCATATCAGTGTTTTGATCTATTTCAGACATGATTAACTCAGCCAAGCCAGATGAGAGGTCTGTTATGGCCTATGTGTCTTCCTATTACCATGCATTCTCTGGTGCTCAACAGGTAAGTGGTTATAAATAAATAAGCCATCTCAGTGGAATTGTTAATATCAACAGTAGGATTGGAATTAAAAGTGGAAAGATATATATATATATATTATATCTAGTTCAAATGTGCTTTTCTTCAAAATTAAGATAATTTGTATATAAAATAAAAAATATCACACTTTTTTCTTTCAAGGCTGAGACAGCTGCAAACAGAATCTGTAAAGTCCTAAAGGTCAACCAAGAAAATGAGAGACTTATGGAGGAATATGAAAGGCTTGCTAGTGATGTAAGGTTTCCTTAAACTTGTTATAGGTTATAATTCTCAAGATTTTTGTGTGCAAGTTATCCGCAACAAGTTAGTTTCCCCTTCTTTATCTATTGGTGTGTGTTTTGCAGTCCTGAAACCATGTATTTTTTAAACATGAATTACCTTTTAATTTCTTAGCTCCTTGAATGGATTCGTAGAACCAGGCCATGGCTTGAGAATCGCACTACAGACAACACTCTGCCGGGCACACAGCGAAGGCTGGAAGAGTTCCGTGACTACCGCCGTAAACAGAAGCCACCTAAACTGGAAGACAAGGCCAAGCTAGAGAATAGCTTTAACACATTGCAGACCAGACTCAGGCTATCTAACAGACCAGCATATCTCCCGACAGAAGGAAAGATGGTTTCGGTAAGCTCTAGTCTACAGTTGGATTTTTGGATCAGTTTGAGGTTGTGTGTAGTTTATTTACATTTTCTTACTGATTAATCCTAATATTGTAATTAATACTAGTATAGTTGATATTATTTTTAAACCTGTCACATTTTCTTCACTAGGATATAGCCAATGCTTGGAAAGGTTTAGAAACAGCAGAGAAAGGCTTTGAAGAGTGGCTTCTTTCAGAATTACAAAGGTTAATATTTTGTAATTATTTTCACAATATTGGATTTTTATGGTGTGAAAGGAATGTATCTCATAGTTTGTTAATTACTTATCAAAATTTGTATCAATGAAAGCATCTTATCTATCAGGAAATTTCAAGTATTAAGTATTGCTACTGTGTAGTTTACTTTTTTTTGCTGATGTTTTTTATTCACAAAAGATGAGTTGTAAGGTGTTGTTATAATAACAGTTTCTGTTTTTAGGAATTTATCATTTTGAAAAGTTTTTGATCTCAAACCTTTTGTTTTTTAAAAACGTATTTTATTTAAAAAGAGTCTGAGCACTTTTTTAATTTGTTTAAAAATACTTAAGATTGGAGCGTCTGGATCATTTGGCTCAGAAGTTCCGTCACAAATGTGAAATTCATGAGGAATGGGCTGCCGGCAAAGAGGACATGCTGAAGTCAGGAGATTTCAAGAAATGCAGACTGAATGAGCTTAAAGTAAGTGAAACGATGAAAGCTGCTGGTTTTGTTTAGTGTTGTGTTTTTTATTATTTAGCTTAAGTTTTTATATGGTAGTTATTAGAAGACTAAGTTTGTAGTACATAAGAGAGAAATTATACATATTGCTTAGTCCTTGCGACTATATTTGAGTATATTAAAAGCAACACACAAAAAAAAAAAGTCTGTAACTTTTTACAATTATGTCATTTTCTTTGACTGCATTAAAGTTGTTTGGAGGAATGAAGCAATAATCATCAAACACTTCATTCCTCGGAAAAATAAAAAAGTCTGTAAAGTCCTGAAGGTCAACCAAGAAAATGACTTATGGAGGAATATGAAAGGCTTGCTAGTGATATAAGTTTTACTTCATCTTTTCTTAAAATTTTTGTTAACTTTCTTGTTTTTTTTTTGCCATCCAAGATTTAAAGTCCATATTATTTTTCAGGCCATGAAAAAGAAACATGAAGCGTTTGAGAGTGACCTGGCAGCACACCAAGATAGAGTGGAACAAATTGCAGCTATTGCACAAGAACTCAAGTAGGTGTTATTTATATAAGTTAAGAAATTGAAGGTACATTTAGCAGACCTGTTTACTCTTACGATTTTGGCGTACAATGTACGATTTTGAGGTGTATAGATTGTATATACTGTATGTTTTTTTTACTATGAATATAACGTATTATATGACATTGTGATGATCTTGTACGATTTTAAGAGTTTGAGGGTAAACAGGTCTGATTTAGCGAAATGGAGCCTTTGGATAATTATTATGTTTTCTATTAAAAAGTGTTTCCCTAGTTGGTAACTGCATTTTATTTAGTTTAATATATTACGATTAGGGGCCTAATTTATCTATTTGAGAAATCATGTCATTTTATTTTAATTTTTCAGCTCACTGGATTATCATGATGTAATTAATGTTAATGCCAGATGTCAGGTAAAAATAATTTATATTTAATTCATTTGTTCACAAAGTCATTTTAAGTATTGTTATTTGAAAGTTAGGTGAGCAAGACTATTGTTCTAGCATGTAAAGTGACTTAATGAAAAGGTGGACATTGATTTCAAATATTTATTTTAGCTATTTTACATGATTTTAATTTTCTTTTTAAAAAAAGCATAATTAAAATTTCAACTATTGTAATGAAAACCTGTGTCTTGATTACATCAGTGGCTGTTTTGGAATAACTAATCATGACTTGATTAACAGCGTATTTGTGACCAGTGGGATGTATTGGGTCAGCTCACAACCAAGAGACGAGAGGCTCTGGAAGAAGCAGAAAGAATTTTGGAGACAATAGACCAGTTACACTTGGAATTTGCTAAGCGTGCAGCTGTAAGACAGAAAAAATATTTTATCTGGCTACTATGATCATTATTTAGGGGAAAAAATATTATTGTTTGAAAAAATAAAAAAAATTTTTTATGGTCTATCAACATAATAAATGTTCATATTAAGCAAGGATTGACATAAATTATGCAAAAAGTATTTAGTATGCACTAACATAGTGAAGTAAACATTTTTTGAATTTTTGTAATAATTTTTCTATTCAGCCCAGATGACTTCAAGCATATGCCGTTGCTTTTATCTCATATATCGGTTTTTGTTTAGACAATGTGGATTCCAAATCTTTGGGACTCTTAAGACAGATCTAAAGTCACTATATTCAGCTACCAATAAGATATTATAAATATTAAAATCAATACAAAAGCATTTTCAGTTTGTTAAGACCTGGTTCTCTTCTTCCATGAATCTGTAATAAAGTTTGAATACATGGAAGGCATACAACAGATATCAATCATAAGTTAACTCTCAAAATAAAATTAATATATTTTTGCTGAAGGTGATTCAGTAGCATGAAGTAAAGAAGAAAAAAAACAACAAAAAAACCTGATAACTCTTCTATTGTATTTGTATCTTTCAATGTATAAAGAACGTACACTTGTGTTCTTAAATTAATTTTAAAAGGCTTTTGGAAATGTAAAATACTATTTGGATACATGATTTGAAAAAAAAAAAAACATAAAAAAATGTTTACATTAAAAAAAATTTACAATGTTTCACTTTGAAACAAACATATAAATTACAGTTTAATGTTGATGTAACAAATTTATACTTGCATACAATCTTACCAGCCATTCAATAACTGGATGGATGGGGCTAAAGAAGATCTTTTGGATATGTTCATAGTGCACACAACTGAGGAGGTTCAAGTAAGTAAGACTTTTCATTTATATTAGAGTAAATTAGTTATTTTTCTCGGAAGGACAAATTTAGTTGCATTATAAAATAGGGAAGTAAAATGCTTTTTATTATAGGGCTGATGGTCCTAATTTTTTTGGTTAGAATTACGTAAAGATTTGATTAAAGAGTAACAGAAAATTCATAGCTTAAATTTTAAAATTTTTTGTGTACATTAAATTTGAAAAAATATTTCAATTTTACAACTATTAGGGTTTAATAGATGCTCATGAGCAATTTAAAGCTACACTGGGTGAGGCTGACAAGGAATATGCCACAATTGTAGGACGAGTCCAAGAAGTTCAAAAGCTAGGTCAAAAGTTTGGTATTACCCCACCGGATAACCCTTACACTACTCTTCATGCCCAGGTATGTCATTTAAGACTTGGTATTTCGTTTTATTTTATTTTTGAAAAATAAAATTTGATTTGGTGGTTTATTCCAATTTTTTTGTAAGAAACTTAGCGGTCTCTTACTCTATTATTCGACTTTTCCAATACACAATATTTTGCACCCTTTTCATTTCTGTTCATCAAATATAGCTTGAAGTTAATACATTACTGCCATAGTTTTTAGTAATAATTTACTATTATGAGCTATCAGTAATACACTAACATCCTTACAGCATCTTAACTTATAGGATATGTTTGCAGAATGAAAAGTAATTGTATGCATGAATGTTTGCGTAAAGACCCATGCATAATAACTAAACAAAAACCCTCATTGATAAACTGTACTAGTTCTCAACTTACCGTTCTAACTTAGTGATTGATAAATGGAAAGAATAGTTACGTGTTAGGCAAATTAAAACTTAAGAAGTTGAAGAAATCCTCAGCTATTGAAGATTTATTACCAGTCCCAAAAATTGTTTCAATTGATATCAGTGTAAATTTTAAAAAAATGTTGATTAGGAAGACTAAGCCATTATATTTGTTTCTTGACACCTTTGGAAATTATTAATTTTTTTTATTGTTGGTGGGGGGGGGGGGGGATAAAATTTTATACATATTTTTCTATCCCCATTGCTAGAGAGGGAAAGCCTAGACATGCCCACTTTAACTCACGAACTGTGGTCGGCCAAAAAAATTTGCTGACATTCTCGTACTGTACTGTGGCGTTCAAAAAAAAAACACGGTCCGATAGCAACTTTCAATCCAATATTTAACCGGAATTATTGCCACTTCCTTTTATTAATAATTAAATCATCTTCCGGTTCAAGCTGTTTCTTGATAATTTAAAAATAAGTACTTTTTAATCAGAGTTTTAAATCACTTTAGTTTTTGTAAAAGCTAAAATGGTTGAAGCTATGGCTGGGCCTTCAGTCAAAGAACTAATAGAAATATGTTTGAAAGCTTTTTAGGAGAGGTTTTAAGTGATACTGATGATGATTTTAACATTCCCCATGACGATATCAGTTGACATTATTCGTCTCTTGAATTTTATACTAGTCTTAGTGATACTGAAGTAGGCCTACTGAGGCTACTGTTAGACTTCGAGCCAGGCCCCGAGGTTGGGCTATTTTGACTGAATTTTAGTCACAGAAGCTACAGATTATAGTTCAGAACTAATAAATTTTATAATTAAACAACCCAAATCAGTCCCACAGTTCCTTATTAAATGTTTACTAGTCAATAATAACTATTTTGCCTGAGATTTTGTATTTTGTACTTGGTTTTAGCAGTGGTCCCAGTTTCTTATATAAATGACCTAAAATTACTAAAATTACTTTCAGAGGTTTGATTGCAATCAAAACCTTAGCAAACTATACTATTTCTGAAAGATAAATGAATTGGCTACAACATTTAGATTTGTGTTTTAAGTGTATCTATAAAAATTAATGATGTTATGAGCACTTGAAAGCAAGACATTTTGTCGATTTTTTTTTTCTTGAGAACTCCAAGGTCAAGGACAATGAGCAAAATTTTTTTACAGGGTGGGAAATCTGGCCAACTTTATCCCCATCCATTTACCTTTCTAAAAATATATACTTATTTGGGTCTTTTATCAATATTTCTATGTCATTTAATGCAATTTAAAATGACACTCAAAACTCTCTGAAAAAGTTCCACACCACAGAATGATGCATGCCACAGTCCGTGGGTTGAGATTGTATTGTTTATAATTTTCTAGTTGATTCTTTTATTCTGGTTGCAAACTAAATATCTACATGTAAAAAAAAATAATATACACCCCCACCCCACCCCCCCCACCCCCCGGCGCATTTTTTTAGTTTAAAAAAATTAAACATATATTTAGTTTTGTCTCCGGCCAAAAAATTCATTTTCCTCTTTTGTTTTTAGATTGTTTTGCGTGTTCATAAATTTTGCTTAACTTGCTTTTCTAATTTTTAAAAATTTTTACATTTATTTTGGTGTGTTGCCTTGGACTTGGGCGTAGGAGGTTAGTATTAGTCAGTAAGTGTACATAATAGCTTCAGCTTGAAGGACTATCACTGTTCTTGATGTCTGTTTCTCAAGTTTTCTCATCATTGGGTCTGTGTTCTTTGTTTTCTCTGCGTTTAATGTATCAACTGGAGTCCCGGAATTGTCATCCTGGAGAAGGAGATGCGTTAATACTAATGCATGATTTATACAGAAAAATTGAAATAAATAAAAAATAATAATAAAACACTATCTCAATGTGCTGACTTAATTTTAAAAGAAAAAAAAAAGAGAAATCTTAACTACCAACTTCTCAGTCCCAATTTGGCTGGTCTATATAGATACTAATTCTGTGATCTTTTCAAAATCTGTATGTAAATTTTTCTAACATTAGCATGTTTAATTGGATTATTGCATTCATCTTCAGTGAAGTTTTAACTTGTTTCAACAAATTTCCTTTGGTTCTATGAAATATGACAAAATCCCTGCTTTCTTAAACTTATTACAGTAGTCCAAAATAATTTTACAAATAAACAATTAAGAAGATGCTTTTTTTTTTCAACCTGAATCTTAACACAACTTAATAGTCTAAGTCTAAATACTGTAACATGGCTTTGAAATGGGTTAAATGCATGGGTTAAAAGTGTATTTCGATGCTGCTCCTACACATCATTATGTGTTTAAATAGTATTTTCAGTGAACAAAATTCAGTTTTTTTCTTAAATTTGTTGGTAAATGGGAAGCATACAACACAGCTATAAATCATTTGAATTACTTGGTTTACACATGAATTTGTTTTTACATTTTGTCTTGTTGGTCTGCTATGTCAATTACTGTATCAGTTTTATTGTAGTGAGTCTCCTGTCAATGTCTAAAAAAAATTGTATTTGATAATAACCAACCAATCTGTTTGTAGTTAATCTCTGATAATATTTGTTTGTTGTAACTGATAATAAAATCAAACTTTCAAAACATAATTTAATAACAAGCTATCAAGTATCTTTTGTTTGTTGTTTTCCTGTATTAAATGCACCATGTGTCGCTATGTATAAATATTATATTCCATTGATGTAACTATTTTAGAGCTAGGTAAACAAGAAAATTTGAATGGTTTTTTAAAAACAATTTTTCTCAATTTCATTTACCTGACAGAATTGAAAGAATGTTTACTTTATTGTTTTTACATTAAAATATGTTTTTTGAATGCTGTTAAATAACTTTTTTCAACTTTTAAAATCCGTTTTTATAAGCACAGACAATTTAGATACATATTTAAAATTTCTGTTATCCTTTAATGAAACTTTTGATTCCTTATTATGCTTATATGGTTGGTCGGGTGGGGGATTAAAGTTAAAATGGTGGGTTAATGCATGTCATTTTGCAAGATGATTAGTATTGTAACTTAAAGTTTAACTGAAAAAGAAAGGACCGAAAAGGAAATTCACACCCTATTGCTTACACTGCATTGTAATGGTGTGTTGGAAATAATTAAAATAGCTTGTTAATAGTGTTTGTGAGCAATAACAGACATCTAACTCTAATCACTACGATGCACTTCTCTACCAAAAACAGCCTTATGTTACAATGGTTTAATTGTATTTATTGAGCTAGCCATAGTAAAGAACTAAATATGTTATAAATCTGTGATTCAGATACTAAATTTTGTTTATATATTACTATCAATTTCCCATTATACAAAATTGTGTATCTTTACACTAACAATAAACTTAATTCAGATATATTTTCAAGTTCTGAATTATATTTTTTAGCTACAGTCTTTTGATTAAGAGGGCAATCATCTTAAAATACAAATTTATTGTAGCATATTTGGTTTGTTTCTAGGACATTACTAACAAATGGGGTGAGGTTAAGCAGTTGGTGCCACACCGTGATGTCACACTACAGCAAGAGATGATGAGACAACAGAACAATGAAAGACTTCGCAGACAGTTTGCAGCAAAGGCAAACGTTGTTGGACAGTGGATTGAGAACCAACTGGACGCAGTTGCATCAATTGGTGTGACTGGACGTTCATCATTAGAGGAACAACTTAAGAAGCTCCAGCAATTTGACAAGGCAGTTGTTGCTTACAAGCCAAACATGGAAGAGTTAGAGAAATACAATCAGGTACTTCAGAGCATACTGATCTTTTTTATTTTATATTATGCCCCTCACAGGGCTTTAAAAATTGCACCCAGACCTCCCAAGGGAGGCGATGCGTTTAATAACATTTGTTATGGTGTCAGCAGTCTTGCTCTCACTAAACGTTCATTGAGCAAGCTCGCACCCCAAGACAAGGACAGTCATAATGGTTATGGTCCTTATCCAGTATAATCATTTCCAATGTGTCAGGTTTTATGGTTTATGACAGTATGTATCAATAAATTTCATTTGTTGCCAATTTTTTTGTAGACAAAGACCTGAATTTAAAGCATTGATATTCTTTAAGAAACTGCATAGGGTAATTAATATGTACATTGGTTTATCAATACATTTATAAATATATTCAAACTAACCCTTTTAAAGAAAAATAATGTTTGGATATAGTTATCTCCCTTGCACCTGAAAAAAAAAATTATTTTAAAAATTGACCTATTTCAGGAAGTGCAAGAGGCAATGATCTTTGAGAACCGTTACACACAGTATACCATGGAGGTAATGATATTTCATTGATTAATACATTTTTAGTATTACAAATTATATTAGATCTATAATTGTATATTATATTAGATTTTAAAATTGTCTCACTTTTTGAACAATATATTTTCTTACAGACGTTGCGTGTGGGTTGGGAACAATTGTTAACTGCAATTGCAAGAAATATTAATGAAGTTGAAAACCAGGTATGCATAGTTAATAAAAAAGGATAATCAAGATTTTACTAATTTTTTGTCATGCTTTTAAATTTTATGTGATTGAAATTTCATTGATATTTTTGGTTATTTTTTCTGTATTACAGCTATATCTTAGGTAATTGAGTGTGAATTTCAATAGGTCTTAATTTTTCTAAATACTCTGTTTAGATCTTGACCAGGGACTCAAAGGGCATCAGTGAGGCTCAAATGAACGAGTTTAGAATGTCCTTCAACCACTTTGACAAAAACCGCACAAAGAGGTTGGAACCAAAAGAATTCAAAGCCTGCCTCATCAGCTTGGGGTACAAGATAAGAGATGACAAACAGGTCTAATTCTTACATTTTTAATGTTATTTCATGGTTCTCTCAAAGTTTTAACGATGCATCCATTAGGTTTCATGCGCAAATCTTCAGACCAATTTATTTTTTAAAATGTATTGGAAATTATAATATTTTAAATGTGCTACATTGCTCGGAAGGTTTTAGCTGTTTAGTCCATTACTTGGTTATTTATTACATATTACTTCACTGAAATAAAATCCAATTTTTTCATGTTACTTATTTTGGAAAGATCATAGCAAAAGCTGAAGTTTGTAATTATTTTTTTTCCAGGGAGAAGCTGACTTCCAGAGAATCATGTCCATTGTGGACCCTAACCGTTCAAACTATGTCACATTTGATGCATTTTTGGACTTTATGACACGTGAGACTGCTGACACTGACACTGCAGAGCAGGTCATGCAATCTTTCAAGATTCTTGCTGGAGATAAGGTATGATTGAATTGGCAATAGAATTGCAGAATTTTATTATTTTTTAGTAGGGGTGTAATTAATAAATGTAATGTATTTCACCATGTCAGTTGAAGATTAACTTTTTTATAGAGCACTTTTTAGTTTATTTTCAGCTTTAGAGAAGTTCAGTTAGTAACAAAAATTAATCTCTAAGTTTTAATTGCGGCATCCATCAAGAAAGAAAGGATAAAAAAAGCAACAGTTGTAATTGAAAATTAACTCTGTTGTAACTCTGAAAATTATAGTATGTAATGGCTTAGAATACTATCAATAAGATAATCATTGTTGTATTGTATTGACTCTACATATTACAAATAGGCAGGCTTCCTGAAAATCTGTTTGTCTTAATCCAAATAAAAGTAAACAAAACATGCAGGAATTAATGGACAATGTGTGTTTTATAGTCTTCACATAATGTTAAAAAATGGTATAATTGTTAAAAGCACAGTTAATATAAGCTACTTTTACTTCAACACTACAACTTTACTGAAAAAAATGCTGACATTTTCTTGTTCTTGAAATCAACAGCCCTATATCACAGCACAGATTTTGAGACAAGAACTACCCCCAGATCAGGCTGAGTACTGTATCCAGCGTATGGCTCCTTACACTGGCCGTGATGCCGCCCCAGGTGCCCTAGACTACATGTCCTTTTCAACGGCACTGTACGGGGAAAGTGACCTCTAGACGACGTGGCAGTGACTGCAGCGTTACCTTGTAGCATATTGACAGTGGGGGAAATTATTGCTTCTTTATACCCCTCCAAACTCATCAATAGATCATTGTCCTTCATATGCAGCGTATACAAACGTGTGCAAGATCAATAGGGCTTGACTACCTTCAGAATTTATATTTAAAAAAAAAAAAAGAAAGGTATTTTCACGCAACATTCACAAAGAAAAAAACGTTTGAGTATCCTATTTCATTGAATACCATAATATCATTTGTAAGAAATAGTTTAATACAGTAACATTTAATTTCTTATAACGACACATTAGAACTGTGTGGGACTTTGTTGATGGTCTGCTATGCAGGACACTGTAGCACTGCTCCTGGCATGGAGCCATAGAGTAGCTTGCTGTAGGGGAGAAAGAGAGTGAGACTATGCATTTACAAGCAGAAGGCCCTAGTATTAACTTTCCTTTTGAAGTGTACAGCATGCTGAAGTGGAACTTAGTTTACCAGTTGTATTCTAGAGGTGTTGATAGTTTATATAACTTATGATAGGAATGTCAAGAATTTATTCCCAGAACATTCACACAAAATTAATCTGTGTGTGGTGTATTACGTCTCAAAGTCATAAGAATCATTAATTTGCATACTTTATTATAAAATTATATTTTAACAAAAAAGTTTTTTGTTTTTTTCACTTCAGGCAAAAGATATGAGTAGTTTTTGTTAATTAGTATTTTTTTTAAAAATATTTAGTAAGAATTAATGTGTGGGCTGTTAATTTAATCTTTCAAAAAAATTATATGAATCTACATTTACCATATTTTCATGCATTTTAACACCTTTGGTTGTGAACTTACAAACCGTAAGAAAAAGGAAACAACTTAAAATTGTGCAGTTGTAAGAGCAAGCACTAAAAATGTTGGCCAACTGGAAGGCTATGACATGTCCTGATTGAATTTGTGTGAACTAACAGTGCCTTTATGCTATGCTACAAGTTGGATCTCTTGCCCTATTAACACTTGGTGGAAGAATCATATGCTCCCCCGTCGGCCATAAAAAAATATTAAATTTAATGATTGAGGCCATTTACACCAGTTATGTACATTATATTCCTTTTCTAAGTTGTTAAAAAAAAACATTTCCACCCTCCTGGACGACATCAAAAAAAAAAAACAAAAACGAATATGTCAATTAATTGTCAATGCATGTCTCTGAAACTCATCCTCCTCATCATTTTAGCTGAGTGACATTAGCTCTAGGTGTGGGCATGTATACCCAGTTTGGTTTGACGACTGAAAATTTTATTCCTTTGAAGCAAAGTTTTTTTAATTTTAATTTCCAGTGGTGTGTTATGTTTTTGTGGTTTGTCGTTAATGTTCATAGTTGGAAGAAAATTAAAATTTAAAAAAAAAACAAAAAAAAAAACGAAAAAATGAATATATTGATAAATGAAGTATTTATTGATTGAACCCATTTAGACATGTCCATTTCCTATGCCTTAAGGTCGTAGGTTACTTCTTGTCTTACTCCACTCCGTTTGTACATTTGACCTTTTAACAGATTGATATTTCTGTAGTGTTATTGCTGCATTTCTGTACCTTGTTTAGAGCTGTGAAATCAAACGAACTCTGCTAGAAGGAAGAAGTTGTCAGGATTTTAAAAGCAATATTTTTGATCATTAAAAGAATTTCCATTGATCAAAGCTGTAATGTACATAGATTCAAAATCTTTAAAAAAAACAAAAAAACACCAGATTTGTTTTATGTACATTGTTCTCTTTAGAAATGGTAATTATGGTATTATTTTATTTTACTTTTACTTCTTGTTTTGTTATTGTTTAGGCCATGTTTTTAAATTCTCTGCCCCTAAAATGAAAAGAACCCTTAACCAATTCCTGCCACTTTAGGCCACGTTTACCAGTTTTTATGAAAAGAAATAACACTTGCAGACATGGAACATGTCATCAGTTGCTGTGGCTGACCACTAAATCTAGGGCAAGATCTAGACTTGTGAAATTTTATGTAGTTCTTTTAATGTCTTAATAAGTTTTAAGACTTTTTTGTTTAGAATCAACATTGAAGAACATTTTAATTAATATTATTTTTATTTTATTATTTTTTTTTAAATTAAAAAAAATTGGTGCATCTGACATAATAGTTGCATTGAGAGAACTGAACAAAGTAAGGATTTTAGATGTAGAGTTCTAGTTTTTAAAAAAAAAAATGTTTTTGGGTGAAATTTAATTGAGTGTAGACATTAATTTAAAAGGGCACCTCCATTTCCATTGCCATGTGATTGTAACTTAGACCCTCTTCCATTATCCATTGTGCGTATGGAAATATGAGCAACCTCGAGGAAGGTATGATTTGTGCAATGATGATATGATGACAGCGTTTTATTTTAACCACCGTGATGGTACCGTACTTTTTTTAATTCCCAAAATTAAATCCTTTGACAGTTGAACTCATTTGACGTTAATGATATCAAAAAATGTAAGTGTCTTCTGCCTAGATTTGATGTACTGACTGAATTATCGTATGTAATTTTTGAGACACATAAAATTTGAAAGTGAAAGTGAGTGACCAACCTGTGACCACCTCAGATTTCTTGTTTCTGACGGCCTGTAATGCCAGACATAGTAGGGAAGCTAAAGAAGGGATTGTCTGTACACTGTATGTGGACTGCTGATTTGTAAAGATGACCTAGAGATTACTTGGGCTGCTGGCTAGCCAGTGTTAGTCCTTTACTGACGAGCCAATTATTAATCAGTCGTCTTTACAGAAGCAACTTTACTGACAAGCCAATTATTAATCAGTTGTCTTGACAGAAGCAACTTTACTGACAAGCCAATTATTAATCAGTCGTCTTGACAGAAGCAATGTGTTGTCCCGAACCCAAGCTATTGTAAAAAAAAAACAACCAACTACCAAACTATTATTTTATTGTCTTTTTTTTGTTGTTTGTTCTTCCTTATTTCCTTTTTTTTTGCTTCCGCGTCATTGTAGTATATTGCAATTTATATCTGTGCTTTTAAAAAAATTGACTATTACTAAAACATGAAGGATATTAGAGATACGTAATCCATGTTACTAGTTATCACAATTTATTATCACCAAAATCTGTATCAGTTGGAGATTGGGTAAACTCTGTTCTTATTTATTGTCTCTGTACCCTATACTATATATACACACAGGTGCAGTTGTTTTTTCTTCCTCTTCTATCTCCAAGCCATGATTTCCTGAAATAGCTTAAACCATGTAATTGTAACTGCTGCTCATGTTTTAAACAATTTCTCAACCAATTTTCAAAAATAACTAGAATATTAAATAACTTATCTACCAGAACTCTGTTACATTGGTTGTTCTTTCTTCTAATGTCTTTAATTTAAAAAAAATAATTCCTCTTGTTTGTATAAAAGCACTTAATTCTGCCCTATGTTGCACTTTTTTAATAATTTAAAGTGGGAAGTAAAATACCTTTAAAGCTGGGTTATTTGTATAGCTTTAGATATTAATTTTTTTAAAGAGATATTAATTTTTTTTTTACCTTTTAAAAAAAAAAAGCCCCCATGAAATAAAATACAGAATAAATAGTGTTATAAAAATATGAATGCAGTTAAAATCATCATTGAAATTAAAATACAAAATGATTTAACTCCCTAACTGTAAAGTTAGACATCTACTTAGCGGTACCCAACTTGGGGTTATGCGTTTAAAAGCTGTATCGCAATTTGCTTAGGTACAGGTAATTATTGAATAGTTGGGCTGACGTTGTTAAGACTTAAAGAAATTAAGATTTCAAGAAATGCAGTCACTCTTTTGGAATAATTTTGCTATGCTAAGATAACTCGTCAAATGATAATCAACACAATATAGAACAGGTCAGTTTTAATTTCCATAAGAATTTCAAGTGGATGTATCCTTATAGTATAGTCATGTTTTCATTGTGTGTTAAGGAGCTGTTATATAGATTACCTGCTCATATCTGCAGACACCAAGAGAGACTAGTTTAGTTTTGTTATTTTTATGTTTTGTCACTAAATGACCAGATTATTTTAGTCATGCAGGGACGGCCGCCCCAAACCAACTCTGTCCTCCAAATAGTAACCAAAATGAATAAAGTATGGAATACCCATCTATAGATTTGTACTATATTTTGGGACTTTTTCTTTGCTTTCAATTATATAATTGCCATGTTTTTGTGGTCTGTGTTGTCCCAAACTGCCAAGTGGTCTACCTGTATAGTATTAGTTATTAGTATTGTCCCTCTCATATATGATGTATTTATTTATTTGGTATTGGGTCCTATTCCCAGGTATCGGTATATTTGTATACCGTATATCTGTTAGCTGAGTGGGAGATGAGCGGGGACATGGAATTTCACCCTGCCAAGTGCCAGACACTATCAGTCTCTAGAAGTTGTACTCCTCTACACTACCAATACGAACTGCACAGCCATATACTTTAGCCAGTTTCCTCCGTAAAGTACCTGGGTGTTACCATTCAAAGAGAGGTCCGCTGGGACGAGCATATTAACAATGTATGTAACCAAGCAAACAAGACCCTGGGGTTCTTAAGGCGTAATCTAAAGATTGGCAACTCCTGTGTGAAAGAAAGAGCATATAAAGCATTTGTCCGTCCGGTTTTAGATTATGCATCTTCAGTCTGGGACCCATTTACCCAGAAGAGCATTGACAGGTTGGAGGCGGTCCAGGGATGGGCGGCTCGCTTTTTCCTGAACCGATACAGGAATACCTCTAGTGTTGGCAGCATGCTGGAAACACTAGGCTGTTCACCATTGGAGGAACGACGACGACAATCCAGGCTCTCCATCATGTACAAGATAAATAATGGATTGGTCCACTGTTCCAGTACTAAACAGAAACTCGTCCCTCTCCCCCATAGACAGCGACGAGGCCATGACAGGCAATTCAGGCTCATACAAGCAAGAAGCCAGTATAGGAGCTGCTCATTCCTGCACAAGACAATCAGGGACTGGAACAAGCTTTCAAAAGCAACAGTTGAGGCGACAAAAAAATGAGACTCGTTTGTGTCTATTGTCTCAAGACTTCCAACCCCTAGTGCATGATTCCCTCACAAAGTGGCACTGGAAATCATTGAAGCATTGAACGGTCCTCATCAACACCAGGCACAGAAACATTGCAAATCCCCTCTACATGGATAGGAGCCAAATTGATCAATAAATTGATCGTGGACCCTTAAGATATAAAAGCAGAAGATGATTAGTAGTTGGGTTGTATTGCCAGCTATAATTGTTATTGGGTTGCATCCAAGTATTGGGTTGCTGCATCCAAGTATTGGGTTGCTGCATCCAAGTACTGGCCTATGTGCAACGGTTTGGGAAATGTTGTGGCTATCCTAACGGCTCCCTGCGGTTGCCAGGGCAGCCTTGAAACTCTCGAGTGATGTCGAGTCCACGGCGGCATATTCCAGTTGGTTCCGAGCAATTATTGTTCGTGAGTTAGTCTTTATTATTGGGTTCTACTGCCAAGGCCATATTTCAGATGGCTGCATCTATAGGTACCCGGGTACCTATAGTTGTCAATGACTATTCGCACCCATAGTGGCTCCGTTCAGATTAAATGGCTTCGTAGCCGGGTGTGATAACAACATAGACATAGAGATATATTTATAGCTCTGTGGATAACAATAATACTTAGTATGAGAATTATTTTTTTTAAATTGTTTTTTCTCCTTGTTATTTCATAGATTCATAGTTTTATTCTTTTTATTTATTTTTTTGTTTTTGGTTGATTAATTTTTCTTAGGACGGGTAGATTTTTTTTCTTTTTTAGTTTAAGCCATTTTCGTAGATCTTTTTTTTTTTTTTTAAATTTTGTAATGAAGATGAGTTAGATACATTTATTATTTTTTTTTGAATTTTAGAAATGTATTAATTTAAATTACCTTTATTTAAGATTATTTATGTGTATTGTTTAAGTTAAAAGATTTAATCACACAGTACTTTATAAATTAATTAGGTATTCTAAATAATGAAAATTTCATTCATAATGAATTAATTTCAACTATTCCTCTAGAGAGCTTGGCTTAGTCAGAACAAAACCACCAATTTTAAACTTTTTCCTTGGCACTGGGAGTCATACATGCAGACACTGACTGTTTTTCCTGATATCTCGAATCTCCTTTCAACAACTTTTCTATTTGACTTGACCTAATTCACAAGGTAGTTGCAATGAACATCTTAAAGTTAAAAGCATGAGAAAGAGACTTATTTTGGAGGACTGGTCTTTTTTTTTTTTTACCATAGCTGTCGACTGGGTCTAACACACTGGTACATAATTTAAAATTTAATAGAAAAACAAAACCTTTTTGACTTGAGAACATTTTTGTTTGGTTGTTAGTTATTTGAGTTGTGTACTCAAGTAATCCATAAAATAAATCAGGGGCCAGTAAGGAGTAGGCAGCCAATAAACTCATTCAATTAGGTCACATCATTCCTTTGCTATTTGTCTCCTTTTACTTTCTCACATTCCTTGTTGGTTCCGGTACAGTTAACTATTGTTTGTATCATTTCTTCATTTAAGTACAGATGTAATTTTTGAGTGGGAGCAATTATATGTGATCTGTGAAGGGAGTTTGGTTTCAAGGCAACTAAGTCATGCCACATTGAAAATAAAATACTGATAACCCTAAATAAATAGAGCCATTGAACAAAATATAGTACACACAAACCATACACAAACAGAAAGAAAAAAATCCACTAAAGTTTATTTTTTTAAAATTTGTTGTGACTTTTATTGCAAAAAATTAAACATTTTATACCAATTTTGACTTTTACGCAAAATGAATAAAGACAAATTTGTATTGCATTATATTGTAACTTATTGTACTGTATTGTAAATGAAAAACTTGGCATACACATTAAGAATAACATTGACATAAAGTTTAAAGAAGCTTATTACACAGCAGTTATTGGAAATGTTACAAATGGCATGTAGCCTAGGGTCACATAAACATTCGAGAACTCTTCAGGAGTAGCAAATGTAAAAATGTTATAAAACTTTTCTAGTTGGATACACCCGTATATAAAAAAAAAGCCTCTTGAATCTTGTAAAGAATATCAATTAAAAGAAGCATGCAATGTTTGAAGGCTGTAGCTAGAATACTTTCCTCCCAATTCATTTGGCGTTCCTAAAAAATCTGGAAAATGCAAAATTGAGAAAAATGAAAAAAAGTATAAAATTTTGTTTTTTTAAATTAGAGGTCTGCATGAACGATATAGGATGCATACACCATGTACATATACCATTCATGAATTAAAAAACAATTAGAAAACTAAGACGGAAAAGATAGAACAAAAAAATTAACACACGAACCTAATTTAAAAAAAATATATAAATAAACAAATTCTGAAAAATTTTCCTTTGAGATATTTGTTTAAAAACCATCCATCATTAAGTAGAGAATGTCAATATAAATAAGCATGCAAAATTTCAATTATGTAGTTCCAAAACTATTCCTCCTGATTCATCAATTGACGTCTGAAAAAACAAATGAAAATGCTATATCGATAAAAGCTGAAAAAGACACTGATAAATGCTTATTAAAAAAATTAAAGTTAAAGGTTTCTTGAACAACATTGGATGCATACATCATGAACACATTCCACTCGTTAATTTAAAAAACAAACAATTTAAGTACATAGATATAATTGATAGAATATAAATGAATGCTTTTTCCCAACAACCCACTAGCCTCGAGCCTAATAAAAATAATAGGATCATAAAAACTTCGGAATTTTGTTTATGAGACATGTAATAAAAAAAAAAAAACCATCAATCATTATGTAGAGAATATAATAGAAAAAAATCTTGCAAATTTTGAAGCACGTGGTAATAATACTTTTCCTCATACCGTAATACATTTGACGTCAGAGATAAATGGAAAATCCTAAGTGGACCACTTAAAAAAGAGAAAAAAATTCAATTAAGCAATATTAGATATATAGGAGTCAAGTAAAATGAAATTTAAAGCATATCAATGTGAAATTATCATAAAAGATAAGACTTTTCTAGATATTTTTGCAAATGTTAAACAATATTGTAGAACATTTTAATGTTTTTTAATAAGAAATCAATAGACTCAGTTTAGGAAACAAAAATCTGCCCAAGAAATATAATAAAAATGGTTATTTACACAATTTTGTAAAATAATTTTCAGCACATTAAAAACATTTACATATTTATAAAAGTAGCTGAAATCTTTCGGAACCAATCATTGCGAATTAGCAGTGAACATAAATTTACAAGAACAAGTCAAGAATGACGATTATCTCAGCAAGGCCTTTTCAAACCCAGTTGTTGGGTTCAGCTGTCTATGTTCTATATACCGGTATTCACTTTTCTGCGTGTTAACTTGTCCGTTGGTTCACTAGTCCTGTGTTTGGATGTGTTATGGTGAATTGTGGGTTTACTTGTCCTGCGTTCATTTGCGCGGCCACCGCAACGGACACAAACCATAAAGTTTATGCAGCATTAACTATCAGAAATCTGCTTAAAGTAAACCTATACACGGGTAAGCCGCGGCGACTGCATTGCTCCCCACAGCCTTACTTAACTGAAACATGGCAAAGCCGTGGAGGCCACGTCGCTCTAGCTATGCCGACGTATAACTTTAGTGTATCTCAGAGAAATACTTTGGTAATCAGCAGACCAGACCAGGGAAACGGCGCATGGGGACAAAAAAAGGTGCGAAGCGAGAGACTCGGCTACGTATTCCACCAACAACAGAGAGCGACCAATTTCCAAGCGTTGGGTGGTGTGTAACGTGTCCTCATAATGAGCAGATCTGGGAAACGTTACGAGCGGACCAGGGATTATGTTGCGATATGTTCACTAGAAAGTTGTGCCACCCACTACTACTAACTTTAAAAAAAACAAACAAAAAAACTCTTCAGCTCGCTGAAAATGCCGCCCTTCATTATAAATTAAAAAAAAAGTGGCACCTGTGTGGACCACCCCCTCCACAGCCCCCTTCCTATGCAAGTGGATTGACTTTTTCTCGACAATTGTGAGTCATAGTAGGCTTTAGTAGGCAAATAAGCTATTTAAATGGTCTGTGGTTGGTCAGCTTTAATTTGATAGATGGAACTTAATTATTTAGATGCCACCTCAGTTGACTCTGGTTGGTGGTGAGTAAAATGAGAGGCAGTGTTAGTGATTTTATGTATCTGGATGGAGCCAAGTTGTTTTGTTAGTCATCTGTTT